TCTTTGAGTCTTCGGTTAATTACTTTGTTTAAATGTTTTAATTTAAATTTCCAGTTTACTGAACCAACCAGAGTAACATCTCACTCAGCCACTTGTTTAGACAACTTTTTTTCTGAATTGGATGCAATTGAAGGGTCAGTCTTTAGTGATATTACTTCCGATCATCTCGGTTTAAAGACAACATATAGTTTCAATGTCAGTACTGAGCCGAACATAATAGAGTGTAGACCTATAACAAATGAGCGCGTTAATAATTTTAAAAATAACATTAGCGATAAACTTCCTTTAATGCCTTGGACGCATGATGATCCGGATATTTTGTACAAAAATCTTTTTAATTTAATAAATAATGAATTTCAAAATACGTTCAGAATGAAAACCATTAAATGTACACAGAAGTTGCAGTTCTGTGACTGGGCGACAAGTGGTATATATAAGAGTAGAACAAGGCTGTATGAGCTTTATAGAATCAAAGAATATAACCAGGATCCTGAGTTTATTAACTATGTTAGAAAATATTCCAAATTGTTTAAAAGCATATGTAATACTGCAAAGTCCAATTTTATTAGGGATAAAATTAAAAAATCTAGTAATAAAATAAAGACCACTTGGGATATCATTAAGCGCGAAAGTGGCAAGTGTAAGCCTCGTGAAAATAGCATGGTTCTTAAAATCAATAATAATCTCGTAAAATCGAAACATGAAGTCGCAGATATTTTCGATAATTTTTTTATGAATATACCATTAGAAACTACTTCCAACTTGGACTCATCGTCTGATACTGCTACAGCTCTGTTACAAAAATATGTACCTCCGTGTGGTTTATTATTTAATTTCAAGCACGTTAGTTCTTTTAAAATAATTAAAGTTTTCCATTCATTAAAAATGAAAAATGCATCTGATTTATGGGGTATATCTGTCAAAGTCATAAATAATATTATACATTCTATAGCCCCTTACCTAGCTGATATTTTTAATTCATGTATAGATCAGGGAGTATTCCCTGATCTTATGAAATTCAGTAAAATCATACCTTTATTTAAGTCTGGAAATTGTAAAGATCCTAGCAACTATAGGCCAATATCTATATTACCAGCATTGAGTAAAATCTTTGAAAAAATAATGTTAGAACAATTGTTGACTCATTTTAACATTAATAAACTTTTACACAGAGCGCAGTACGGTTTCACTAAAAACCGTTCCACGACTGATGCTGGGGCCACTATGCTAAAATATATATTTAATGCTTGGGAAAAGTCGCAGAATGCTCTTGGGGTTTTCTGCGATTTATCTAAAGCGTTTGATTGCGTTAATCATCAAACTTTGTTACGGAAATTAAATCATTACGGTATAAAAGATTCCGCACAAAAATTAGTGCAATCATATTTAACAGAAAGGACACAAATAGTTGATATTAACGGTACAAAATCAGCCGGATCTCATGTGAAAATAGGCGTTCCTCAGGGTTCAATTTTAGGTCCATTTCTTTTTTTAATTTACATTAATGATTTACCTTTCTTTGTAGAAAATTTTTGTGAAATTGTTTTGTTTGCAGATGACACCTCGCTAATTTTTAACGTTGACAGGTGTAAAACAAATTATGACGATGTAAACAATGCACTTTCCAAGGTACTTCACTGGTTCTCTTCTAATAATCTTAAACTGAATGCGAGCAAAACTAAATGTGTGAAATTTACTTTGCCGAATGTAAAGCATGTTGAAATGGGGGATATAATTCTAAATGGTGAAAAACTAATTTTAGTCGATACAACCGTTTTCTTAGGCGTAACACTAGACCACAAACTTCAATGGAACCCTCACATTACAACACTAGCCGGTAAACTAAGTTCTGCTGCTTATGCAATTTATAAAATAAGACGGCTTACAGATGTCGACACTGCTAGGACAATATACTTCAGCTACTTTCACAGCATTATGTCATATGGCATTCTATTATGGGGCACGGCCGCAGACATTGAAACAGTTTTTATTCTTCAAAAACGAGCTATAAGAGCCATTTACCGCTTGGGATCTCGAACTTCTCTTAGGGATAAATTTAAAGAAATAGGTATAATGACTGTTGCCTCTCAATACATTTACAATTGTATATTGTTTGTGCGTCAGAACATAAATTTATATACGAGGCGCGATGATGTACATAATTTCAATACCAGAAATAAAGATAAACTCAAATTGCCACCATTGAGACTCCAAAAGGTTCTTGGTTCATTTGTGGGTCAAGGTATATGTTACTATAATAAAATACCAAAAGAAATAATTAATTTACCTTTTAATAAGTTTAAAGTGTGTATAAAAACATGTCTCCTTAAGAAAGGTTACTATACTGTAAAAGATTTCATAAATGATAAGTCACCTTGGGCTTAACATAATAGACTGTCTTTTTACTTTGCTAATTTGGTTGAAAATTGTTTAATCGCCACTTCTAAATTTAAAAATAGTACCTAGTTATACTTAACTTTTGTTAATTAATAATATTAATGTGATGGAAGTTGACATCAACACATGTATTCAATTTTTGATGTCATCTTTCAATTGACGACACTGTGTGAAACAAAACAGGGAGAAAAAAATAGCCCTTGCTGAGTTTCTTGCCGGTTCTTCTCAGTACAAGGTCTCCCGCCGTAGATTTACGAACCGATGGCGTAGCGTTTGACTTTCACAAGAGCTTGTAACAGCCTAGACTGAATAAATGAGTTTGAATTTGAATTGAATTTGAATTTGAATTTGAATTATGAGTCTATAACAGACAAGAACCCAGAGTGTGATCTAGCTAGGGAGTGGACAACCAACCACAAATGCCCAACTGGTTATGAGTGTAGGCCTGATGGTGACTGCTTTGGTACGAAGGCATGGGACAAATGCTTTGACTCTACCACCATGGTTGCAGACAATGGGCCAAAAGTTATAAAGTGGGAAGGCACAAGATACACTAGATTTTCGGTTCATACCTGTGTTTCCAGTTAGGAGTGCAATGCATTTTCTGCAAAGTTGCCCACTTTTACCAATATCAGAGAAGATGGAAAATACTCCTGGTCTTTCTTTAACAAGGACAACAGAGAGCATCAAATTGACAATGACATATTCACTAATGGAATTGTAAATCTTACTGGGGAATTACTTTGTTTGATTGACAAACCCAAGTACCCCATAACCTCCATTCACAATGCAGATTGTTTCTCCGAGGAAGTTAACAACGTAAAGTGCATGGTAACTGATGACGGGGAATACAATGGTTTCGTGTTTGATGTGTCAAAGTCGAGTGAGGGGTCTTAAGAAACTTAGCAATTGAAGTGGTAGGTCCATTACTTGTCCCTATCAGCGGAAAGATAGTGGGCATCAACAAGTCCAAGTACAATGGAATGCAGCACACAAATATTACCTTGATAGATAGGCAAAGAGCAGTAAATGTTGAAACTGCACATGAACTGGCAATAAATGCAAACATACGGCAACTCCAGACATTACACAACTTGTTGCATCTAAGCCAAGAAATAGATGAAATATACAATGTTTTACTACAAGTTGTGAAGAGTCAAGAAATAGAAGACCACAGGTTTTCAAGCGAGTAGATATGCATTTGTTGGCGAGTGAAAGACGGCAACGCGACGGCGAAAAATTTTCTACGACGGTATGTTCGTTTCCGATGATGCGAACACTCAAAAAAACGTCGGACCACGCATAAAGTAGGGTTTTGTTCAAAATTTCAAAAATATTCATCACAAGATACCCGAAACGGTTCCTTTACCCGCCAATATTTGTGGTGTCCAATAATTAGAGAATCGACTCACGGCGCCCCTCTGTACTTTCTACGGCGCACCAGGGCGCCGCGATGCACACTTAGGGAACCCCTGGATTAGATGTTATGTTATCTTTATAGTCACGCATTTATTTACTTTATCAAATTACTTAGTTACTTCATCTAATCAATATTTAATATGTTTATCAAATAAGTAGCTTTCAATTTTTATGTTTGTTATGGTTAATGATTTTTTTTTAATTTGTTCTCATTATGTTACTTAAGGAAAACGTTAACAGTGTTATTATTTTGACATGTTATCTAAATATAATATGTTGTAAGTAGCTTTTAGGGTCTTCCTTTTCAGGGGAGGGACGCCTAACGTTTCAGGGGAGGTGTAGTGAAGTGTAAATCACGTCCTCTAGTTACGTGTTGATAACACTTTCCCGATACGTTTAGGTAGCTAAGCCCTAGGCACGTCGTATACGTATTGTAAATAGAATATAGGTTAAGTTAATTAAATGTTGATTCCACACTGAACGCCCGTCGTGATTTCTCCCGTGAGTCACCCACATCCCATCACCACAAATGCTTTGATTAACCTAAAATTTGGTAGGCAGATAATAGATTTTTTATAACACCTTAATACGTTTGAAAAATAGAACTAACTTCAATAGTTACCGTAATATTTAATTTATTAACTCAATTTTCATGTAAATTGATGATATTAAATTCTGTCAACATCATCATCATCATCATCATCAGCCTATTAATGTCCCCACTGCTGGGGCACAGGCCTTCCCTATGGATGGAATAGGGAGATTGGGCCATGACCCACCACGCGGGCCCAGTGCGGATTGGCGGGTGCTAACGACTGCAGATGCAGCCGGGACCAACGGCTTAACGTGCCTTCCGAAGCACGGAGGAGCTCGCGATAGTAAATTTTTTTTGGTCACCCATCCAATGACCGACCACTGCGAAAGTTGCTTAACTTCAACGATCGCAGCCGAACGCGCTAACCACTTGCGCCATCGAGCTCCTCGAATTCTGTCATATTACTATGTAATTTTGTAATCTATATATATTCACGCGTGGCGTTACTAAAAGGAGTTTCGTCGAGCTTTGAGCTTCAGTTACTCCGTGATCATGGCGCTTGCAACAGTGCCGAAATATCGGAAACTCGCTAAAAACAAGGTACATGGTAACAATCCCGTAAATAACTTATATTACTATAGAGCTTTAAGCTGTTTATTATGTATCGCAGAGCATAGCCCTTTTGGTAACTACATATGACGTGTTGTTTTATTACGTTTATCCTTAAACATCTTGAAGACGGACCTGAGAAACAGACATTATTATTAAAAGACATGGGCAAATATGCAATAAATTTATTGAGACTTTAACAAACAAAACAGCTAGTGAAAAAAATTAATCGTGTAAGTATATTGTTAACAATTGATGACAATTCTCGTTCTGAGCTACCAAAGTAATCAACTAATGTATGGAAAAATACACAAACGACACCGCTTGTGAAGCAACCATCCAGATTTTGGGAAGCAGGAGAATCGGGAAGAAGCCCCCCCCCCCCCCCCTTCATCATCAGCCTCTTAGTGATCCCACTGCTGGGGCACAGGCCTTCTCTATGGATGGAGTAGGGAGATTGAGCCATGACCCACCACGCGGGCCCAGTGCGGATTGGCGGGTGCTAACAACTGCAGATGCAGCCGGAACTAACGGCTTAACGGAGGAACTCGAGATAGAAATTTTTGGTCACCCATCCAATGACCGACCACTGCGAAAGTTGCTTAACTACAACGATCGCAGCCGAACGCGCTAACCACCTGCGCCAACGAGCTCCTCTTGATGGAACAGAATTAAGCGCTGAGATATCTCAGAAAGTGGTACTGGTACTTTTGGGAGAAAATAATTTTTTAAACAGAACCTTCAAGAGAACCGACAGCACCTATCATTTCTGACACTATATTGAATGTACATAAACTGTTAAGCTTATAGTTATTGCGCTGTATTATCTCCGTTGTTCACTCATTGTGCACCTTCCATCATTTCATCAATAGTGCTTTTGAACTGAACTGTGTTACACTCATTTAACACCCGAGACCCTCACGCATAATCCTTTATCTGGTGACCTCCATTGGACACAATCATGAGCAATACGGAGAACACGATCGTTGGTGTGAATTTGAATCCGGCGAGCGACGTGAATCGAGTGAGTGTGAGGATACCTTTGTTTTACCCAGAAAAACCGGTGTTGTGGTTTGCACACGACTCCAGAGCCAATTTTATCTGGCGAATATTACCATCGACACCACGAAGTTCCACTACGCGATCAGCCAGCTGGATCCCGTCTATGCGTCAGAGGTGGAAGATATGATATCGGCACCGGCAGGACCAAACAAATAGGAGCGTCAGAAGGCGGAGCTGATAAAACAGTTGTCTGCGTCGAGGGGGAAAAAGGGCAATAGCGTCTGTATCTATTGCTTTACGCTTACATTTAAAAATAATAGTAGTTTCATTTAAAATTAGCTAAGAAAGTATCAGGAAGTACTTTTAGCATTGGGGGCGAAGAAAAGCAAAGAGAAATCATAAATGAGTTACAGATGTCCTCTCTAAAAGAAAACATGCTCGTATCGCACAGAGGACGCAACAAAATGGAATGAATGTTTAAACCCTTTGCTATTTGATTTTATTACAAAATGGAATGGGATTTTATTATTTACTAATAAAAAAGAATACACCTAAGGCTCGGTTTCAAATTAGAAATGAATCTTTTTATACTAGAATACCTTGGTATGAAACTAAAGTAAATATGCTCAATGAACATAATCAAGAGTGGTTCACTGTAATAAAGGATAGAATAGACGACCATGGCTATATACCAGCATCTCCCGGGTTTCGAATGGGGATGCTCAATGCAGCATCAACAACAGTAGGGCTTGTAACTTTAGCTGGAATAGAGATACCTAATACCATTATTAGATCTCTTAGGTCTAGCGATGACTTCATGACTATCTTTGTTGCATCAGAAATCTCACAGTTAGCTGTTCTTATTGGGCTAACTTATAGTGCATATAGACTGTTTGGAATAAATCCGAGCAGGGAGAAAACCATTTTATTCCCTGAATCATACACCAATGGAGAGTACAATTGGTACCTAGATAAAGACTTTGTGGGGCAATACCAAGTAGAAACAAGTTCCCTAAAACCACAGGGGGAAAATCCACAAGATGATTTTAATAGTATAGCATTTATTACTTTACAATTAATGCAAACACATATTATTAATGTTATCGGAGCAATAGTTAGATTATCAGTGGGTATAGACAATATACGAAAGCTATGGAACCAAATTAAGAAAGGAGGCGGAAAGACAGTAAAATAGTTCAATGACCACAACTTCCTTATTCATTATAAAAAGTTGGAAGCAGAATGTAAAAAGTTTTTCAAAAAGAAAAACAACTGCTCCGCGCAATAAAATATCTAAAAATAGTAATAGCGGGGCTACGCGCGTGAAAGTTTTACCAGTGAAAGTAAAGTGTTATTGGAATTCACCAGGATTATCGTTTGTGAAACATTGGATGGCTGGATTGGCTTTAAGATCAATACGTCTAATTAATAAAATGCCCAACATCCTACACGTCTAATTAGCAATACGTCTAAGTAGCAAATCGTCTTTGTAGCAAAGCGTCTAATTAGAAAATGATGTAATTCTTATAAGCTTGGACACGTGCGTATAAAAACACTATTAACTATAGCTTAGGATTGCTTGGTAGAATACGGGAAACCAGAGAAATAAGATACAGGATTAGGGTTCAGTGACAAATATATTAAGCAAACGAATAAAGGAACAGAGCAAATCTGAAAAAGACATAAATACGTAAAAAAGGCTTTCGCCGATGACGTGATCCTGGTATTCACCGAGTCATCTAAGGATACACTGGAGTGCAAAGCCAACTCGGCCTTGGCAAAGATCGCGGGATTGCGGGGACAGAATTAGCTTAATTTCGCGGCTTACAGGACCAAAGTAATGCTGCTCATTAAATGGCTCAATTATGTGAAACCAACCCTCTACAAACAGGTGGCATGCACCGCGAGGGTCTCTTGGAGGTAGAACAACAACATCATCCGCACCATTTCTACGGCGGTAATTGAGCCTATACTATTATGCAAGTGCAGCAGCAGCAGAGCAGCGACTGCTCGGGAGCAGTTCCGGACCTCGTAAAGAAACACGAAAAGGAAGACAAAAAGAAAGATCCCGAATTTTGACCGATACACCAGAAAAGCAAGAAATTAAAAACATAAAAACCAAAAACATATTTCAACTAAATTTAATCAAGCAGCGTCCATAAGTCTTTTGGGAAACAATAGGTTTTTGAAATAGAACCAGATTCTATAATGCAAAAAATATCAAAAGAAGAAATCTATTCGAAACAGAAACCAGTGCTGATTCTTCCAACTATTCATTAAGTAACACATCTGAAGGTTGAGGAAGACAATGACAGCGAAGAGGAGAACCTACAGGCTGAACATGTTAATAACGAAAATTTCTATATTGGAGACTATGTTATATTTGTATATGAAGGTTCCTATCTAGTCGGAAAGGTATAATCAATAACTGAAGAGGGTGTGTTACTGAAATCGAAGCAAAAATCACTTAAAAACTGGAAATGCCTGAAAAAGAGGATTTGAATCTGTACCCGTAAAGCCCTGCAAAAAGTTAACAAGAGAGACATTTATCATATTCCAGAGATACAGAAGTGCATTGAAGCATTGAAAGAACTGAAGAAATCTCTTCGAAACAGAAACCAGTGATGATTCTACCAACTATTCACCGAGTAACACATCTGAAGGTTGACGAAGACAATGACAGCGAAGAGGAGAACCTACAGGCTGAACATGTTAATAAAGTAAATTTCTATATTGGAGACTATGTTACATTTGTATATGAAGGTTCCTATTTAGTCGGAAAGGTAGAATCAATAACTGAAGAAGGTTTGTTACTGAAATCGATGCAAAAATCACTTAAAACTGGAAATGGTCTGAAAAAGAAGATTTGAATCTGTACCCGTAAAGCCCTGCAAATAGTTAACAAGAACAGAGACATTTATCATGTTCCAGAGACACAGAAGTGCATTGAAGCATTGAAAGAACTGATTGATACCACAACTAACTGTTTAGAAGCACTTGATAACTTAGGAATTAATACTACAGACTACTACATGGGTTATAGTATATAATAGTTATTAATGCACTTACTTTTAAATGAGTATATCCGAGAAACAGACTATTCAAAGAAAAAATGAATCAGAAGGCACGAAAACAAGATTCTGTAGCTACCAAAATTAGTAGGAAATTTTAAGGATTAACGCCGTGTGGAATAGTAATAAATTAAATAAATGTCCCAAAGAAATAACTGAAGAGGAAGATGTACTTTTATAAATAATCACTATAAAAATATTGTATTCTACAAAAACAAAATCAGGGGGAAACGACGAGTACTAATAGAGACAAAATATATGAAAATAAAAACTTCAGATTCCTGGAGACAATGTTCAATGCTTTCCCGGTAAAGAAAGAATTGTACAACATTATTTCGGACGGCACGGTACGAAAGTTACTAGGACATGGTGTATCACCTTTTTGGCGTCACGGCACAGAGAGCATCAGCTGCAATAAATGCAACGTCAGAAGGTGGCAGTTCGCAGTCCACATTTGTTATGTGTTTCCTTACGAACAAATCATGGTCAGGGTATGGGCTGCAGAGTCGGTCATGGAACGAATATTAGGAAGAGCATCTACTGCGTCTGCGGGAAGGACGTTCCAAACATGTCGATGATTGGCTGCGACGGAGATGAGTGCGGCTATCAGTGGTATCACTACACGTGTATTACAGAGACATCACAGAGGCTCCGGATGGAAACTGTGTCCGACATGCAACAAATGACGTTGACTTAATTCTGGACAGACTACGACTCGAAAGGGTCAAATCTGGCCCGCGACCACTAAACCAAAATAAAAGACTTACCAAAAACGAAATAAATCATATTCCGACAAGGACCACCCTGCTGTCAAAGCGTACTGCACGTTCCTAAATAACGGATCTCTATCCTTTGTTCTGTTCGATATCTTACACTCATAATGCGAACCGCCGGCTTTGAAATGAACGAGACAACACGACCGAGGAAATATACTTGCGGTGGATTCTCCACAACTTACGATAATTACAAGGGCATGGTGTGTAACCTTTTCTGGCGCCACGGCACAGAGAGCATCAGCTGCAATAAATGCGATATCAGAAGGTTCAGGTCAGTTCGCAGTCCATATCTGCTATGTGCTTTTTTACGAAGAAATAGTGTACGGGAAATAGTAGTACGGGAGTGGGCTGCAGAGTTAGTCACGAAACGAACATTAGGGAGAGCATCTACTGCTACTGCGGGAAGGACGTTCTAGACACGCCTATGATTGGCTGCGACGGAGATGAGTGCATTTGTGATATTGCCACTAAAAGGACTTAAGAGTTTAATATTAAATATCATAAAGGAAAAACTTGTCATAAGAGGAACCCGCTTTAAAATTAAAACGCACATCTTTTTGGAATAACTTACAACCATGGAGCATCCGCACTAGGATCTGCATACAAGGGCAAGCGCTTGCGCCAAGCGTAAGTAAAATTTTACTTATGCGTAAGGTACGCCCCCAAACGTCGCTTCATTCGGTAACCGAGCGTTAGTCGGGAGTGGTTCTCCCGTTCTCGTATTATAAAACTGTATGAAATGCCGTACTGTGCAATAAAATTGTGTGGAAAGTGAAGTAAAACATCCTACATGAACGGTTTGCTCAATACGCAATAATCGAAACCATGCGCTATCACAGAGACAACACGGCCGAGGAAATATACCTGCGCAGGATGCTCCACAAATTACTATAATCACGGGGACATGGTATGTAACCTTTTCTGGCGCCACGGCACAGAGAGCATCAGCTGCAATAAATGCAACGTCAGAAGGTGGCAGTACGTCGTCCACATTTGTTACGTGTTTCCTTTCGAACAAATCATGGTCAAGGAGTGGGCTGCAGAGTCGGCCACGAAACAAATATTAGGGAGAGCTACTGCGGGAAGGACGTTCCAAACACGTCGATGATTGGCTGCGACGGAGATGAGTGCGGCTATCAGTGGTACCACTACACGTGTGTTGGCATCACAGAGGCTCCGGATGGAAACTGTGTCCGACATGCAACAAATCGTTGACTTAATTCTGGACAGACTACGACTCGAAAGGGTCAAATCTGGCCCGCGACCATTAAACCAAAATAAAAGACTTACCAAAACTGAAAAAAAACATATTCCGACAAGGACCACCCGGCTGCCAAACCGTACTGCACGTTCCTAAATAACGGATCTCTATCCTTTGTTCTGTTCGATATCTTACACTCATAATGCGAACCGCCGGCTTTGAAATGACCGAGACAACACGACCGAGGAAATATACTTGCGGTGGATTCTCCACAGCTTACGACAGTAACAAGGATATGGCGTGTCACCTTTTCTGGCGCCACGGCACAGAGAGCATCAGCTGCAATAAATGTAACGTCAGAAGGTGGCAGTTCGCAGTCCACATCTGCTATGTGTTTTTTTACGAAGAAATCATGTTCGGGGAGTGGGCCGCAGAGTTAGTCACGAAACGAACATTAAGGAGAGCATCTACTGCTACTGCGGGAAGGATGTTCCAGACACGCCGATGATTGGCTGCGACGAATATGAGTGCATTTGTGATATTGCCACTAAAAGGACTTAAGAGATTGGGTTGATTGTTGAGATTGGATAAAAGATACTCATCCTTCCTCTCTTCCATCAATTTGATCCAATCGTTCGCGAAGCTCACATTCAAGTTGTTCAGATTCAGAAAAGCCAAAACGTTTATAAAAAGATAAATGGGCGATCTGGTAGAAACTTATTCTATTAAATTCCCACCTCTAGTGCAGGTACTAAGATTTCAGCCACTGAAACCTCTAGAAATCCTCATTCAGATACAATACATTCCGCTCAGGACATCAACAGATGGCATATTAAACGAAGTCATGGATAATACGAGATTATTGTATTTACTTGGAATTAAAATTAGATATTAGTAAAAAAATTGTCTAGACCCAAACAAAGAATATTAAAAGAACATTTACCTACTAATAGACCTGATTTAGTGAAATATAATAAGCTTAACGTAAAACATTTCCTTTACTTCGAAGACGATACACATAGAATTTAGTTCGTAAATGCAGTCATAGCTCTTTTGAAAAGGGTACAGATTTTTTTTAATACAGTCATTTTTGTAAAAGACGAAGCTGAGCAATCCTAAATTAATATTAAATATCATAAAGGAAAAACTTGACATAGAGGAATTCGCTTTAAAATTAAAACGCACATATTTTTGGAATAACTTAGAACCATGGTGCATCCGCACTAGAGTCTGCATACAAGGGCAAGCTGTGGTGAAGTTAAATCACGTATACTTTATACGTGATGATAATCATCCCCCGAAACCGATTAGAAATCTCCTTGCCTAGTACGTATGTTCGTGTATTGGTTTAATATAAGATAACATCTTTTATGGAAATACATGCAGTAC